CTCGTTGCTCACAACTATTGGGATGTTTTTGGGGACAAAGATATCCACTGGGAAATCTATAATGAGAGTGGAAATAAGGGTACTAAAAGAATGGCCATATCTTTACAAAATTAACTAAGTGCCAAAAATACTATTAAACGGCAGGTTTGGGGACATGGGATGGAGAAACTAAGTTGAACGCAGTTGACGAGGTCATTACTGGTGAGAAAATTTTATTGCAAGAAGATGCTAAGCTATGTTCTGAATTTTGGTTCGAAAGAAGCGAAAGGTGGATGGATAATGCGCGGGTATTCACTTGATGGCGCTTCTTTGAATGCATTAACTAGCACTCACAATGGATAATATTGGACGATAATAAATATGCTAAGGTCAAAGAATCTGTAAAGAAAGGGAAGTCCCCAGAAGCAAAAGGGTAAAATCGTGGAAGCCTGAAGTTAGTCTTAGGCAAGAGAGAGCAAAATGTTGAACAAGAAAATTTGCAGGCGAGTAAGTTGATAAAACACAACCCTAAGATACTAATGAACGAGGCTAAAAGCTCGATAATAATGACAACTGGGGAAACTAGACTAGACCAATTAATGCAGCTGCATAATTTGGTTAATTATGGCTGTGATGGAGAGTTAATCAACCTGCAAACACATACAGGTTTCTTGGTTGAGAATTTACTGTCAATGAGTGGTTGCAATGGGGATGGTTACTATGGATCAGTTACTGATATGAATCAATCTACTGTTCTGATGAGTGAAAGTTTGCAAGTAGACGATGGATTAGTCCAACAACAAGCACCCTTATCATACAATGGGAACCATTGGTTTGTTCCAATGACTGATGGTTGGATGGCGTATTCAGAAGTTACACGTTGTTTGGCTTATGGAACAAGTCTGAACCAAGCTGTTACATGTGAAAATGCTGACAATTGGCAACAGCCTTGTGAAGTACAGCCTTATGCAGTTGATTGTGGTGATCAGATAATGGTGACAGGTCAAGAAGTCACTTGGGAGGATATTCTGCAGGCCGTTGAAGGAGAAAATGAAGTCATATTTGGTAAATTGGCTTTGCCACAAAATGAATGGTTTCAATGCATTTGATTGATGCTCGATGGATTAACTAGAAAAGACCACTTGACTAGTCATGGAAAAAAGTGATGCTCTTGTAAATACTTGGTTCTTTTCTGTAGTTTCATTCTTGAATTCATATTGGATATGATAAACTAAAATGTTTCATTATTAATGAAGCTATCCATTCATTCTGTTTTCTACTTGCTGATTCAAGCTTCTGTTGCTATTTTCATGTAGTTTTTAGTTATTGGTAATTAATAAGAGTACTTACTGGTAATTAATGTTCAAATTAGGGTACTCTATAAACCGCGTACAATAAAAAGTTTTGTTGGATACATTTGTTCGTTTCCCAATCTCTTTACATATAGAGCAAAGTTCACGTTCTATTCTATTCGCCAGTGTCTACTCTGATTCAAACAGAAAAGACAAATAAAAAAAACTTTTATCCAATCATTTAGAAACAAGCTTTTTTGCATGGTTGAGTCTGTCCAATGCTGACGATAGCTTGAGGACGGCAACGCAATCCAAATTACTTGTCACCGGCTACTGCAGAGGAGAATCAGCATATTCTTGGCTTTCAAACTTCAAGACAATTTCCTCATAGAAGCAGAGCCTTCATTAACTTCAAATCCAGTAAATAAACTTCTTGCAATGGCAGCCAAAATCTCAATACTTATCAGTTCTATAGTACTTTGCAGCTACCTAATTACTTTACCAGCAATGACTGGTAAACCTGACCCTTCACTTTACAGGAAAAACATGTTGAGTTTTGGACGAAAACTTTTACAGGACTCCAACACCTGCTGTAATCTACACGAAGACCCTGAATGTGACCCTGATTTTGCTTGTGAACTTGGCGATGACAGTGGATGTGGTGGCCCTGAATGTGATCGGAGTGGCGACGACTGTGATCCGGACCTCGCTTGTCCTCCTGGTGCCATCCCTGATTGTGATCCATCGGTTGACTTGGATTGTGCTCCAATGACCAATGAGTCTGTTACTGCTGAATTATGAAGTGACTTTATAGTTGTTGAAGGAAAGAAGCTGTGACTGAAAATTTCTTTGTTGTACTAATTTCTTCCTGATCAATGACTATGATTCATGACTATGCTGTACTAGGATACATGACTATCCACCTGTTTCGCTCTTTCTAGTATTCTTGATGCTGGGCAGGTATATATACCTAATATTTTTCCCCCTCTAAGTATTTATCACTTGTAAGTAACTCTTATCACAATTCATTTCATTACTCAATCTGCCATCTGAAGTCATTTTTTGTTCCAAGTTTTGAAAAGAATATCTAATTATGCCAAATTTACCATCTGAGTCCATGTTACTATAAATTTGAGAACTAACTTTTCCTCCATAACTTAGTTTAATTAAGACCATGTCTATATTCTACACATAATTGACCAAAGAGGAAAGATTTTAAGGCTCATTTGCTCCCTCATGACAAATCCAAACATCTAAAAGAACTATTAAATACTTCTTGAACTACGGAATTTGTACTCTTAAAGTACAGATAATTGTTTCCTTTGCCTGGGACAAGTTTATGCAATTCTCCTAACAAGCATATCATCACAAGTGTTGTTAGTCAAATGAAAATGAGATTAAAGGAGGATTACAATAACGTTGTCTAGTCGAGAGTTCTCTTCTTTTTTTCTTTTTGGATTATAATTTGCTTAGTCAACAAAGTTGTGAAAGATATAAAAAAAAACCGATTGAATGAGAAATGACGACATCAACCAAGCAGTATGTAGAAGACAGAAGGACGACCGTCTTTTTAAATAAGGAAAGAACAAAAAAGTAGGTAACCTCAATCAATTTTCTTTTTTTTTTTTTGCGTCTGTCGTACATTTGACAGTCAAAAATAGAGGTGCCGTCCTGCGACAAAGGACGAAAGAGGAAAAGCAAAGCCAGATTATCAGTTCCCTAACATTCCACATTTTAGTCAATCTGTGGAAATAAAGTTTTTCTACCTAAAAAATTGTTAGAGGTTTCCACCTCAGTAGCCAAGATTGGTTATAAAACACAGATTGTATGTAAGAATAAGAGAACCAAAAAAAAAAAAAAAAAGCTGTTCTGCTTCAGCAGTTGACATGGAGAAAGCAGAATTGATTTTCGTCCCCTGGCCATTGATGGGCCATTTAGCTCAGCAGGTGGAGCTTGCCAAGCTGCTAATCAATCGAGACAAGAAGTTTACCATCACAGTCCTAATCTCCAGGCTCCCTGCTTCCCTTGATCCCATCACCAATAAACTGATAGACTCTCTTGTTGCTTCCTCCACCACAGAAGCCCTTCAATTCTTTCAGCTTCCTCCGACAGATCCCACCCCTGAATGGAGTTCCCTCAGCCGAGGGTATTTCATCCAGAAGCAACTGGATAGTCAGAAGCCTCATGTCAAGAAATTCATCCAACAGCGCCAAACTGACGAATCAAGCAGTTCAAAACTTGTTGGAGTAGTTGTCGACATGTTTTCTACCAGCATGATTGATGTAGCTGATGAATTTGGGATTCCTAGCTATGTTTTCTTCACGTCAAGTGCAGCATTTCTCGGCCTCATGCTCCATTTTCAAAGCCTCCAAGATGAATACAACCAGGATGTTTCTGAGTTCTCAAACTCAAAAACTTCTCTTTCCTTCCCAGGTTTTGCTAATCCAATTCCACCGTCAGTCTTGCCTATCGTCTTAGTGGACAAACCTCTCTGGATACATAGATTCCTACTATGTGCTCGTGGATGCAGAAAGGCCAAGGGAATCCTGATCAACACATTCACTGAGCTAGAACCATATGCGGTCGATTCCTTCAACCTATCAGAATCCTCACCAGAAATCCTCCCAGTAGGACCAATTCTGAACCGGGTACAATACATATCCCGTGATGTACAATCAGGAATCATGGAATGGTTGGATGGCCAGCCTCCAGGCTCAGTAATTTACATCAGCTTTGGCAGCCTGGGAAGCCTACAGATCGACCAAGTGAAAGAACTAGCAAATGGGCTTGAACGCAGTGGATACAGGTTCTTATGGTGCCTGCGTCGTCCCCCTCCTAAGAACACCATTGTTGATTTCCCAAGTGAGTATGAGAATTACAGAGATGTTTTGCCTGAAGGCTTTCTGGATCGAATAGCAAATATTGGAAAAGTTGTCGGTTGGGTTCCACAGTTAGCTGTACTGTCACATGCTGCAGTGGGAGGATTTATATCACACTGTGGCTGGAATTCGACACTGGAGAGCATCTGGTGTGGGGTGCCCCTGGCAACATGGCCTTTAGAGTTCGAACAACAGTTGAATGCATTTCAATTGGTGGTGGAACTGGAATTGTCTGTGGAAATCACATTGGATTATTCATCAATGGACAAAAATCAGGCTTTGGTTAGAGCTGAGCAGATAGAAACAGGAATAAGGAAGGTGATGGAAAGTGACAGTGAAGTGAGGAAGAAAGTTAAAGAATTCAGTGATAAGAGTAGGAGAAGCATGAAACAAGGAGGTTCGTCACATGAATCTCTTGGAAGCCTGATCAGTAAGATGTTGCATAATAGTTGATTAGTTATTAGTAAAATTTGAGGTACGCTGTTTTATCACGTTCTTAGTATCTCAGTTGGAAATAACATACTAAAATCTTTCTATATCATCATCTGTGGTACTAAGCCTAGACTCTGGAAATTGGAAAAGGCAAATACAGTAGTTTCAACTTGTGATTCTATCTGTATCACGAATGTGCTGCTGCTTGAACATTGCTCATCTTGGATTTGACAATCTGATGTCTAATGAAACGGTGGAAAACTAATCAATTAACTAAACATGAACAAGGCAAAGTCAACTGAGATCAATTAACATTAAATTGGTGTGCAACTTGTGTACCTTTTGAGGAACCCGTGTACATTGATTGCTTATAGCAAAACGGATGGAAACAACTCTTAGCTTTTTTTTTTTTGTTCCCGGAAATGATAAATAGATTTATTGATAGTAAAAAAAGCATTACACTATATGAGCAAGGGCTCATCTTGAGCTATACAAAAGTGTAATAAGAAACTGAGGATCTGGAAATTCGTCATCAAAATGTATATGTGTTGCATGTTGACTCAGTCATACACTTAGTCTATTAAGTTCAACAGACGACCTATCAAATGAGCATTTCCTATAAACATTGAGCTAAGGTCTCTTATGTCCTCTAGTTGAGCTGAAAGGCCTATGTCTCTTGAGGCTTGACTCCTTGTCAATTTTAGAACCCGAGTACAGGATGTTTGGATCTTTATTGACTGCCAACCTTGTTCCTTGGTCTTGCATAGGGCCAATTTGATAGCCTGCAAGCTGTCCAGTACAATTGATCCAGTACTTCTTTCCTTCAGTATCCAAGCTGCAAGTAACTGACTCAGATTGTTTTCTGCTGTGATTCCAATTCTCATATTCTGACCTTCCTCATGTTGCCCCTGTTAGGTTTTAGGGACACTATGCAGCGGAAAAATAAAATTTTTTTCCTAAAACTATCCAGAAATCACCCTAGATTTTACGTATGATGCATTAAAAGGAGGGTTATAGGATTACCTTAATCCTTGCGGCATCTCCCTGTAGTGTTGTTGAGGATGTTCAGCCCTTGAGTAATCCAGCCGTCCTGCCTCTACTGATATCCACGCTAGAGCAACCCTGGGTCGTCTCACGAACTATGTATTGAAGAGCAAGAAAAAGTTGCTAGCCCTTCTTGCTCTTGTTCGAAGTACGTGACTCTCACAGACTCACCCTTTTGCCTTTTTGGTTACCTTCACCCTCAAAAAACCCATCCTCTATCTCTCCCTTAGGAGTTAAAAGGAGAGAGAGAGATAATAAGATAGAATGATGAGTTTTGCTATCTGATTCAAAATCAAACGATAAGACTTCTCATCACACAAGACTCTATCTATCAGTTATCTAACAGATAAGAGATAATCGTTCACTCTTATCTACTCAAATAGGCCTGGGATTTATTTTCTTTTAAAATTAAACCCCGATAATTTACATAGTTTTAATCCAAGATTAAATCTCTATTGCGTGTGACCCAATAGGTCCCGAATAAATTGGTAATAATTATGGTTTAATAATTAGATAAAATAAACGACTTTATTTTATCATAACTTATAATAAAACATCAATCCATAATTCTAGACCACGAGCAGTGTCTAGCAACACATCGCGATTGTCCAATTCCTCGGAATTAGTCAAGAGAATTTGACCTAACCTTTTCGTGAATAATTACCGTGTAAGTATTATCCTTTCACCAAAGATATCCAATTAGTCAGGAATGAGGAATAAGTGCCAATTCCCTGATGACTAATTAAGTTTTTCTAGTTCCCGAAATTTACCCTGAATTAGGTTAAATTGAAGACATTCTTCAATTTATCTAATAGTCGACTTTAGGGTTAATTTTCTACTAGTGGCCATCCGGATATCAACTCCTTCTATCAGAGTGGTAAATTCTATCTTGATCACCCATTTTCTTTCCGTGCTTCACACTACATCCAACTTCTACACTTTAAGGTACTCATGAAGAGTAACAAGTAATTAGAGTCAAAATGTAGTGATTCACACTCAAGATACTATGGTGATCTCAAGTCGTAGGATCACTTACACAATTTTTCACTAGAGATACACCATTGGCACTAAATAGATATCCTAACGGGATCTCTAAACGGATCACTCCAATGCATTTAAACTCTTCAAATCATCTACACATTAGTCTAGATATCTTCATACCATGGTTGATGAAAACAACCACTAATTACCTTAATCAGATGCTAACTGTGTACTAGTTTTACCGTACTAAAGATGTCCTATTTCATTAGTACTATAACTAGGGAATTATAAGAATATTACTATAAATGCGATTGATATCTCATGGTCACCAACTCTTGTGACTACCATCACATCAGTAAATATTCTAAGGACTTTATCGGTTATAACTAATATTTAACAGATAAATAAGAAGTTATTAAAATACAAAACATATAATAAGGAATGCATAAAATAAAACAAATACATTGTTTTAGGGCATACACTCCAACAGCCCCACATCTACACAATTGGTCAGCATGTTTTCATCTTCAACCACCCTCTCTTCTCATTCTTGAGCTATTTCTGTTTCTGAGATGCTCATCTGATGCACTGTCTGTTGAGATTGGTGATATTCCTCCCAATCCTTGACTGCTTTTCGAATTACTTCCATTGGATGTCTATCTTTATCTTCAAATTCTGTTTCATTCCTGACTTTCCAAATCTGCCATAATATGTCCACCGTCAGGGCTATGTGTTCCATTCCATCCTTTCTGGCCTTCACTTCCAACAGCATTCTCCACCATCTTCTGAAGTCACCTGTGTATTCCTCGAGTCCATTCCACTGGAGGGGTGCCATCTTCCACATCATTCGTGCTCTTCTGCATTGAAAAAATATATGTTCCACTCTCTCACTATTCTCTCCACAATTCTTGCAAATCATATCACCTTTCCCTGTTCTTCTGTATATTGCTTCCCTTCCTGGCAAAACATGGTTCAGGCTCTTCCATATAAACAGTTTCTGCTTGTGCTTTATCCTGGTTTTCCATAGCTGTTTCCAAACTCTTTCATTCTCACCTGCCCAGCTTGTATCTCCCTTATTTCTTCCACCTTTTGGATGGAAACTACTCTTTGCTTTGTAATTATTTCATTTCCTCTCTTTCATATTTCTTCTTCCTTTTTTTTTTTTCTAGCGAAATAATTGGCTGTTCGGGGAAGGAAAATTATATTTGTCATCTTGCATAATTGAATGATTTGACGCCCAGAAATGGATACTCTTTTTTTTTTTTTTTTTGATAAGTCCAGATTTTATAAAAAAAAATATTAGGAGATAAAATCCACAATTGGGAAATAAGATCCAAAAATCATCCTTCATGATGAAACTGAGATTTATAACTACTCAGATACAAAGGGAAGAATCATTGACTGAAATTTTCTTTGTTGTACTAAATTCTTCCTGCTCAATTACTAGGATTCATGACTATGCTGTACTAATTTCTTCCTCATTGGTTTCCATGCATTGACCTGGTGTATCTGGTCAGTCTTTTAATGTTCATTATTCAATTTCCCGTCTGAACTCATTTTAGTTCCAAGTCTTGACATGAATAATAATTACGCCCAATTTACCATCCGAGTTCAAGTTACTATAAATTTGAAACAAAATTTTCTTCCATAACTTAGATTAATTAAGACCATTTGAATGACTATATACATTCTACGTTTAGAATTCAGGCAAAAATTAGATAAATTTCAGAATTAGCAACATCTGTTCAGTAGTTATATTTTGTAAAAAATAAAATAAAAATAAGAGCTTCTATGAATCATAAGATACAGGATGATCCTTAAGTCCCATTAAGTATCTAGGGTTATTTTTTTTTTTCTTTAAGTGAGACCTTCATATTGCCAAAAATAATCCACCTAAGAATAGAACTCTTTCTATTTTATAATTTTTGGTACGAACCTGTCGTCTGCCGTTCTTCCTCTATCCAAATTGTTTCTTATTCTTTACTCTCAGAAAACTAGAGAATAAAAACTTGGGAGCTTTTTTTCTCGTGAAAAATCACCTAGCGGCAGAGAAGGGAGAAGAAATAAGGTTTATATCGACAGAATTCATTCAAAGTTCTGGTTTAAAGAGAGTCAATATTGCTTTATTGTTGCTATAGGAACTACCAAGAAATTAATATAAAAAAAAATATTGGGCTGCAACAAGTACTACGAGATCCTACGGTAGACAATGGAATTTTAATTAAATTCTAAAAATTACCATTGGTCTATTAAAATGTTTTTGTCCAATCGGATATTGCCATATGTCATGTACACTTGGAAAATTTGGTTATTAAGCAACCAATTATATTTTGCCACGTGTCAAGGTGAGGTGTTCCAAATCAATTCAAATTGCAGGAGTATCTCCACCAACCAAATCATATCATATCATGTATTTATTGGATAAATATCTAAATATTTATTTCTTATTAAAGGGATAATATTTAGAATTGTTTAATCCAAGTATATCTCTTATATACTGCAATGGCCTGGCCAGTAAAATGGCGCCACGTCACGTGTCCCCACAAGTCTGGCCAATCGAGAAATTACTTATCTCTTTATTAATGAAGAGATAATATTTAACTGGCACAGTCCTAATATGACTGTACGTCTTGCTAGGCAAGTAGAGTGGTGTACATGATCTCAACCTCCACCTCTTGCTACAACTATAAATAGAGGTCTCTCAACCAAGTTAAGGGGACACAGAGATATCAAGAAGCATCTCATACACTCAAGTATTGAAGCTTCAAGCTACGAAGGTCTGGGTCTCAAAGCTCCTCAAGTCTTCCGCATAGCAAGGCTTGAGCCTTCAAGTATTTTCAAATCCTTCAAATCTTCCATATCAAGATTTGAAGGAGTCGGTGGTTGATCCAAGAACAAGCTGCGAAGCCCTTGGATTGGTGTTCGAGGAGAAGAATCGAGGGAATCTCTCCACAAGTTTGAGAAAACCCCAGAGATTGTACCTACATATTTTCCTAAATTTATCATATATTTTTCGTGTATTTCTTTTTCTTGTCGTTTTGCAGACTTGGAAAATTTTTATCGCGTACACCTACTAATATGCATTTTGCAGTTATGAGATTCATATTTCCATGAATACGCAATGAATAAATATTTCATCCATAATAAATAATTTCACAAAATGTCATCCATGTAAGATAAAAATTCTTTAATAAATCAATAAATATGAAATGTTAATTAATTCCATTTAATGTTAAAAAATGATTCAATTCTTATTGAAAAAATTAGTTAAAAGATTGCTCTTACCTCTAAGACAAAAACTCTTCCAGTTGTTTTGATAAAACAAAATATTGCTGGTTTCAAGTCCAATTTTTTTTTTTTTTTTTTTTTTGGTCTCCGTTGGCGAAGTTTAGGACGCAGCAATGGAAAAAGTAATTATTTTGGGTTTTGGCCTGTGAATGTAAACCGTGTAGACTGTAGACTGAGAAAGCCGAGTCAATTTTTTGCACGCGCAATTTGGACGGTGGAAGGTAGGCAGACAAAAAGTCCGTGCCATATACTGTTCGTGTTGGATGGTCCGTGCCACATTTTTTGAATTAATCTCTTATACACTGTCAGTATATAGATAATATATTTACTATATCATTGAATATATAATATATGTGTAAAATTTGCTCATATGTTATCCATCTAATTATGATAATGTATACACTATCAGTGTATATAAAATTTACTCGTATTTTTTTTATCTAATAAAAATTATAAAATGGAAATAAACCTATTCTTAGGTGGATTATTGTTGATAAGGTGGAAATCTCACTTAAAGATGGATTGTACGTGGATTGTTGGACCGACTGAGGATTTGATCTCATGGTATGGTTGCCTTATCTTCCAGTCAGATGTTTGAAACTAAAGAACAATTGACTAAATACAAAAGCTTATTGACAAATCCAAACATCTAACTACAAGCAATGCTCCCTCTGTACCATTTCGCTAGTTTTGTGTTTTTTTTATCCGTTCCAAATTATAGTCCACATTCCAATTAAAATATATAAGTTGACTTTTAACTTCTTTAAAATACCCTTGTTTAACTTCTTTAATATATCATATCTTATTTAATACAGTCAAATTTTCCATCAATAATTGCTTTGATATATGTTTTGAACGGTGCAATATACCATCATTGTTATTATTATAATTAGTATAAAGATATAGTGATTAGTGATAATGTAAGGGCATTCTAGAAAAATA